GGAGCGCATGACAACAGGCATGAGTGGTCAGAGGACTACCAAAGAACATGAGGGTCACCCACAGGATGCTGGGATGGCTCGCCTGAAGAAGGATTGAAGTCCCAGGCTGAAGTAGGCACCCGAGGAGATGGGTGATGTGTGGCATGGGAGCCTGAGCCTTTCGTGAGCGGGGCAGTAGAGCCATCCAGGTGTGAATTCATCTCTTTAGTTGATTTTCCGTTAGGTACAGCTAAATGAATTGAAAGAGGGGGATAAACCCTGAATGAAGGGACTTCAGATGATGTACCTTTTGAGATGGTAAAGGAATAAAGGGAATTTATTTAAGCTGATTTGCTTCTGAAGGCTGTTAGTCAATTAATAGAAGGGGATGAACCCTGAATGAGTGGCAGACCAAACAGGACTAAGCTGCTGGTGGACTTCTACTGAACTGATTACAAGGATCCTGGCAGCATTGGAAAGACTGCCATACTTGTGACAAGGGCTCATGGCCCAAAAGAAGAAATTGGATAACATTTAGGATGTGGTAAGGGTGGAGTGTAAGGGGAAGTGGAGCCCCATGAAGAAATTCCTCCGACCTAGAAATTACTCTGATAGGCCCAAACCTATCAGCCAGGATAACCAACTCCCAACTTTAAAGATCAAAGATGTGGCAGGCAGTAAAGATAACACTGGAGAGTGGCTGTGGTAGCGTTGACCCACATCCTGATGTAGTCCTCTGGTAAGATGTCAGGCCAGAGAAGGCCTAGGCCATACAGCACCTACCCCCAACAATTTGGTGCTTTGGCTGGGAACTTAGACCAAGTCCCAGCCCAGGAAGAAGTCAAGGACCTGCAACCAGGGGCAATAGCAGGGGTGGATGCCTTTTGACAGACCCTGAATCTAACGGGACAAATTTTACAGTAGCAACAACAGACTGCTTGACAGGTCGCGTTGGATGAGAAAGTAGTACAACAGCAAGACTGGGTCCAATGGAACATAACAGGCTTTAAGGTTCCAAAAATGACCTGGGAAGATATGTGGTAGTCTCGGCAGGGTTGGATAAAGCAAAAATGGGTTAGTAAGCTGGGAGTTCTCCTTGTTGGTTAGGCTTAGGAGGCCTACTGGTTGATGTTGAGAATAGATGCCCAAGACTATAAGGTTAAAAATGAAATCCTGTTGGATATCACCCCTGAATCCAGTTGGATATCACCCCTGAATGGTACCACCAACTGTTTAGGATGAAGAAGAGAAGGGAGGACAATTCGCAAGAGAAGACTGCAAAGCCTGGAGGACGTCTTGGATAAATGGTTGAAACCTTCAATTATATCCAAGGACAAGATACATGATAGCATCCTCATGGAGCAATTCCTTTCTGACCTAAAGGAAAATATTCAAAAGTGGGTCCAATGTCATTGCCCAAAGACCTTGGCTAAGGTTCTGTGCCTTGCTGAGGACTTCAGTAGTGCCCAGGGAGACCCACCAAGGGAGAAAATTGTTAAAGCGGGGCAACCTGCCACTCCCAGGATGCCCAACAAGAGGGTGGAACAGGAAAATAAAGAACCAAAATCTTCACCACAAGGAATAGTATACTTCCACTTCAGGAGAATGGGGCTGATAGCCAGGGACTGTTTTGCTGGCCCCCAACCATATCCACCCTCTACCGAATCTTGGGTAGAACCAAAGGGGAGCAGACCCACAGGAAGGCCTCCAGATTGAAACGATGGACTGCATCTTGGGGAAGGCCACAATTGATGCCACCCAGAAAAAACCCACAGTCATGGTCAGTGTAGCTGGGAGACTGGTTCAAGTTATTTTGGACACAGGGTGTGCACAACCCTAGTAAGGGTGGATCTGGTACCCCACAAAGGGTCTACAACCTACAGTGCTATAAAGATGATTTGCATGCATGGGCAAGCCTTGATTTACTCCAGGCAAAGGGTCCAGGTGACAGCACACAGTCTCACCTGAGAAATGCCAGTAGGGATGCTGCTGACACTGCCATACCCAATGGTGTTGGGTAGAGATTTCCACAAGATTTATGACATCCTGGATATAATCAGGTCCAAAGGCAGGACTTGAATGGGTCTGAATGGAGAAGATGAGACATAAACAGGCCAATGGCTATGAAGAATCTTTGATACAGAGGGTCTCACAAGTAATACCCAATTCCAGGAGGCTCAAAGGGAGGAACTGGCCTTCCAATCTATATTTGAAACTGAGCTAGCATGAAGAGAGCAGGAGGTAATTTACCTTGCTTTGTGTAACACCTTACCCCAGTTTAGGTCAGGGACTTTTATATAGAATTCAACAGGGCATGGGAGAAGGGGATAGGTCAGGTGATGGTGTAGTCTTGTGAGCTTGGCCCATGCAACCCCCCTGGGAGGACATTAGTGAAGGAAAAGACAGAGGCTCATTTCTCTGCTGGTTTTTATGGCTTCATCGAAGTCGAACTGTTTTGTGTAGCCTGCCCCAAGTGTCAAAGGGTGAGCCAGAAGAAACACCCCAAAGTGCCTTTGTGAGTGATGCTGGTCATCACCGAGCCATTTTCACACATCACATTAGATGTTGTGGGCCCTCTGCCCAAAAGCACGAGTGGACACCAGTTCTTGCTTATCATTATTGACTATGCCATGTAGCATCCTGAGACTGTCCCTCTACTGACCATCACTGGTCTGAGAGTAGCAGAAGAGTTGATTAAATGGATTTCCAAAATGGGGATTCCCTGGGAAATAGTGACAGACCAGGGGTCTAACTTTATGTCCCATGTCCCCAAATTACATGCTGAGCTCTTAAGATCAAGCATTTGAGGATCTTGGTTTACCATCCCCAGACTAATAAGCTAGTTGAACATTTCAATGGGACTCAAGAAATTGAGTCCGAGAACAGAACAGTGGAAGACTGGAGGAGAGCGCCACTGGGTAGGATCATGGACTTGGAATCAGGACCTGGGGTTCTGCCACTAACCCACTCTTTCTGCTTGTGCAGATAATTCCCACCTGTCACCACCCCACACATCTGCTTTCTCTTGGTCTGTAGGTTGTCTGATAGAGGAGTTGCTTCTCAGTACAGGTACATACATCACCCAGCACAGCTGTAGCACTCAGTGTCCCAGCTGGCAGGAGAGCTACTTCAGTCAGGATGATGATAAAATCTAGTTGAAGGCTGTTCCTGGAGATCGAGTGCAGCAATGAAAAGCATCCCTGTTGAGTAGGAGCTCTCTACAGTGCTGCTGATACAGGGGTGCTATTCTCTTCTCTCCAAACACCCTATCCACTCAGTGAATCAATTCAGCACAGAGCAGTACCTTGCTTGTGGCTCCAGACCATTCTGAGTGAATGCCTGCCATTCCAGGAGGACTTGTGCAGCAGGGAAGGAACTAGATTTTCAGATATCCATTTCCCAAAGGACCTTCCATTCCCACTGTGATCCCATCTGACATCACAGCCTTGGCATTTTGGGGTCTGGCAATGGAAATCCCTGCATTTTCAAAATCGTTTGGGTGTTTGGCAGAATTCCCACCATGTTGACTAATCTATCTTCTTTCTGCCACACTGGATTGGCTGAAATAAACTCTAGTGTGTTCCTCAGAGCTGAGGCAACCCAGCTAATTAGCAGGGTGCCGTGTTCGTGTAATACAGAAGATATTAACCATGGGTAGTGATAAGCCCAGCTGCTTTTGTAGGCTGCAGGTCTCTGCTTTGTCTCACCAGAGGAACAGGTTAGGTAAGTTAGCAATTGTTCCACACCCCTCTGTAGCAACAGCCTCCTCTAACACTCTCAGCTATGGTGGTTCAAGGTGAAACCTGCCTCTGGCCATTTGCTGAGTAATTTCCCACACCAGCCCCTAAGCAGGCAAGCTCCTGCTTCTGCTGGAATAAGGATGGAAGTTAGGCCACGCTCTCCTGGCTGTGCCTCAGCAGCAGTGGATGCTAAGCCAGCTAGGGCTGAGGGCAATGGGGTTAGGATTACTAGGCTGATATTGTGTTTGGTCTTCCTTTGTTGTTTCTGGCTCATCAGCTGTCAGGGGCAAATTCTAGGGCCTCTGTTCATGGGGCTAAGTGACCTCAGCCCCACTGGCAGGAACAGCATGTAGCACTTACCTTGCAGAAGTCTGGAAATAGAGAAGTTCACTCCAGCTTGCTTTGAACTCTGGCAGCTGCACAGGCTTTGGGCACTCCTGCCACGGCTTGTATGGACAATGTGCCCCACCTTTGTCATATATACATGGCACCACATGCTGAGACATGTTCTGTTGCTCTGATCTCTGCTCTTGGGGATTCCCTCTCCTTTGAAGTAGGGTGGGATAATGGCATTTCATTTCATTATGGGTCTTAACTAATGGCAAATGTGAGACTGCATTTCCCCACGTCTCTCTGAAGAGGGTGCTCCATCCTCCAGAGACATAACTGGGAAGGAGGAAGGAAACTGGTAAACAGTAATTATAAATATGTTGTAGATGATGGGTATCTTACTAGTTAAGTCTGAAGCCATGCCTCTCCCAGAATACAGGGACCTTTCAGTCTGAGGCTTTGTTTCAGCCTTGTATGGAAACTGAGGAGCTGTTGGCATCTTGATCCTTGTTTCCAGGATCCAGGGTTTGGTCTGGACACATTAACATAAAGAGAAAGGGACCTACATACATCATGCTGCAGCATAGGGTCACCATATTTCCAGCATCAAAAAAGAGGACACCTGTGAGGGGCAAGGGGAGGAGGGGGAGAAGAGGGGGAAGGAGTATATGATTGTGAGGGATATGCCCGTGCCCTGCCTCTGCCCCTCACTCTTAAGCCACACCCCCCCCCACCCTGCCGCAGCCTCTCACTCCTGGCCCACTGTACCCTGCCTCCCAGCCCTGCCAGTGCCCCTCACTTCTGACCGCATCCCCCTGCCCCCCCAACAGCCCTGCTGGTGCCCCTCACTACTGACCTACAGTCCCCCTTCCCACCCAGCCCTGCTGCCCACGCAGTTCGCATGTGGCTGCACACACACACACACACACACTATCTCTCTGTCTCTCTTACCTGCAAGCAACTGCCAGGCCTGCACGCAGAGCACGTGATCCCCGGACAGCCAGTCACTTTGCCCCGCTGCCCCCAGACCCAAGCAGCCAAGTTGAAGTGCCTGGAAAAATTCAGCAGAGCAAAAACCCGGACATTTGCTTGCATTTTAAAAACCTGCCCAGACAGGAGGACAGGGGGCTAAGAAAGAGGATATGTCCAGGATCTTACTGCAGCACAGTGAAACAGACAGAACCAGGGAACCGAAAGGGGGAAAATCCTTCTCTCTCTAACCTCTAAAAGTGGATCACTGAAGCCCTCAGCCTTTTCAAGTTCAAACATGTGAAACCAACCACAAAAAAGAGATAGAAGCCAGAGCAGTGAGATCAGTTCCTTTAAAACCAACGCAAAACATTTACCACTGCCTCAACTTCAAGATTCATCCTTTTGGAGGTTAACAACTATACAGTAATAACCAGTAAGACAGCACCATGGGTTGGGGCAGGTTATGATCTTGAAGGGCTTCCCTTCTGCCAGTGTAGAGCTGAGAAGTGCAGTGCCAGGCACAGGCATGGGGCTGTGGTGGTGTCTAGGGATTCATGGACTTACATAGAGCTGCAAAGCTCCACTCCAGTGCAGGCACCCATTTTGGTGGTTATTAGTGTTTGATGGAGGGTGCTAGTGGGGAACAAGCTCTGGAAGAGCAATGTTCACAGCAACTGGCCTCCTGTCCCAACAGAGGTTTTCTTGAGGGGTTTGAATGTGCATGTATGTTAGTCATTGAGCATGGATGTCACAACAAAGACCACATTTGTCCCTCTCAGTAAAAAGCTACTGTCTAGAGGAAGAGCGCGAAGAGACAGGATTCTCCTCTCTCTTCCACACAGCCATCCCCAGGGCACAACCAACACTTGGTCACAGGCCCCAGTGAGTTCAGAGCGCAGAGCACTGCAGCAGAGGCAGCCCAGGGCAATTGTGCCTGAATTCAGCTTAGCTCACCTTGTGCAAATGGTTAGTTGTGAGGGTCCTTGGACCTAGCCTGGCGACCATCCTCCTCACAAATCACAGCATTGCTAAATGTTTGCCACCACTCTCCTCCCCCAATGTTGTCTGTAAACAGGCACATCAGAGCTAGACACCTGGCTAGCACTGTGCCTCAGTCACTATCCTCAACACAAGTCATGTGCTTGAATCTTTCAGAGCTGCCCCCTTCCTCTGCTGAGTACATCAAACAATGCTGTGCCTCACACCAGGCTCATACGGGGCTTCAAGATTTGCAGGGTCTGCCAACACCATCTTCTGGCAACAGACACAGTGTAAAAAGTCTGAGACATTATGCCTGAAGAGCTGGCGGCATGGGTGCAGGTACTGGAAAAAGAAGAGCATGAAGCAGATAGCTAGACAGTAGCCCACCAACAGCTGCAACACCAGCAGTGGGGCACAGATGTACTCATACACGTCTGTCTTGAAGAGGTACCAGAGGACAAGGAGGATGGCATTCTCCACCAGCCGCACACTGTAGTACAGGGCCAGGCGGCCCCAGTTCTGTGACTTGTCTATAAGGTCCCTGTCTGCCAGCTTCAACTGTACAGCTGACCAGCAGAATATGTTGATGCCAGCATAGAGCAGAGTGACAGAACACAGCACCACCACAGTGCCCACCCGGCTGAAGTTCTTCTCGATGTTGTCGGGCAACTGCGTGCCACTCCGCCAGAACTGTACCCATGGCAGGAAGAAGACAACCAGCAGGTTGGCTAAGGCTATGGGGATAATCCAGTGCTTGAAGACAGTGCAGAAGAGCACAAGGACAGCCACACGGGTGGAGATCTCCAGGCTGCGCCACAAGACAATGCAGAGAAACGCCAGGGGCCGCAAGTGGACCTTGTAGTCATCATACTTGATCTGGATGGCCAAAACGTTGCAGACCAGCGCCCCATAGGTGACTGACACCAGACAGATGCCCATCAGGACGGCTGCAAGGGAGGGATGGGAAGGTGGTGACTATGGGCAGTCAGACAGGGTTACATATAGCAATGCACTGCACACTGCTGCACTGGCTTGCACCCTCCCTTCTCCACATTATCCAAACAGATCTACATGTAAGGCACATAGGTCTCAGGGGGTCAGCAGGTACTGGGGAGGGAAAGGTCATGGCAAGTGCAAGTGGGCCCTGGGGAGGGATGGTTCATCATGGGTGGGAACCAGGGGCTGGAGAAGTCACTGGGGAAATGCTACAACACAACTTGTAGCAAGCAGAAGCAGGGCCCCTGAGAGGACAGAAAGAACATGATTAAGAGATGATCCCAATTGGGAAAGGAATGTCCCTGCTGAGAACAAGCCCTGGCAGATGCAGTACATCCAGCGTGTCCTGAATCTGCTCCAGCAAGCCTGCTGTATGATTTTGTATGTATAAGGCTGAAAACAGATGTCACCTTTGTGCCGCCATGAACATTTTTCTAACAGCACGAAGCCCAAGCAAACAGCTGTCCATACCCCTTGTTGCATCACAAATGGCCAAAACTGCGGCCACAACAACAGGTAATATAAATTTGTGCTGTTTTTTGTGGTGGACATGTGTTTGCTTTATGGTGGGGGAGCATGGGTAGCCCACAGATGCCCACACTCTCCAGCTGCTGTGGGGCTTCAGGGGCCTGATCCTGTGTACTCATAGAACTCCCCTGCAGGGGTGTGTGCAGGATTGGGCCCCTGTAGCCCCAGGAGTATGTGCCCAAGTGCCTCACTTGAAGAGGCACTCCCTGAAAATCCCTTGCTTGCTGCCACACCCTGACTCAGGCTTCCCCCATTTGCAGAAGTACACCCTGAGTTGGTTCCCCTGTTTGCAGCTGTCCCACAGGGTCAGGCCCTTGAAGCACCAGGGTCCCTGTCCTGTGGGACAGTGGGCGAATATGTGTCACCCAATGAAGTGGATCAGCTGTGCCAGGACACATCCTAACACATTTGATCCTGTTCTAAAGACATCTGTTTATAGCTTAAGTGCAGGCACTGACCTCTTTTCCTGTCCAGTGTAAGTGGGAACACTTGCTATCCTTACCATGGGCTAAGTGGGTAGGCCCTCAGCAGAAGGTTAATGTTCCATCCACTCCTCACCCCATCTGAGCTAATAACTCCCATCTCCCTCCAGCAGATAAGTCAAATTGAGCCCCATGCAATCAGACCCAAAGCCACAACTACACCTTTATGCCAGGCCTGATACTGGCCTCTTAACTAAGGGTAAACACCTGTGCAGGGATGACCAGATGTAACAACCTATGAGCCCAGTGCTGTGAGACACCTGTACTGAGCCATCATGGAATCTGGATAGCCAATGGCTCAGCTGAGAAGAGGGCTGGTTGTAGGGCAGTCAGAAAGCCTAGTTGGCTTTCCCTCTTCCCTGTACAATAATAAAATTAGGCTTTTAATACAATCCCAAATACAATCTCATGAGGTTCAACAAGGACAAGTTCAAATCCTTACACTTAGGACGGAACAATCCCATACACCAGTACAAGCTGGGGGCTGACTGGCTGGGCAGCAGCTCTGCCGAAAAGGACCTGGGGGTTACAGTGGATGATCAGCTGAATATGAGCCAGCAGTGTGTCCTTGTTGCCAAGAAGGCTAACAGCATACTAGGCTGCATTGGTAGGTGTGTTGCCAGTAGGTCAAGGAAAGTGATATTCCCCTTTGTTCAGCACTGGCGAGTCCACATCTGGAGTACTGTGTTCAGTTTTGGGCCCCCCACTACAGAAAGGATGTGGACAAATTGGAGAGAGTCTAGCAGAGGGCAGCAAAAATGGTGAGGGGGCTGGCAGACATGACTTATAAGGAAAAACTGAGGAAACTGGACTTATTATATCTAGAGAAGAAAAGACTTGGGGAGGATTTAATAGCAGCCTTCAGCTACCTGAAAGGGGGTTCGAAAGAGGATGGAGATAGACTGTTCTCAGTGGTGGCAGATGACAGAACAAGGATTAATGGTCTCAAGTTGCAGCAAGGAAAGTTTAGGTTAGATATTAGGAAGAATGTTCTCACTAGGAGGGTAGTAAAACACTGGAACAGGTTATCCAGAGAGGTGGTGGAAGCTCCATCCTTGGAGGTTTTCAAAACCCAGCTAGACAAAGCTTTGGGTGGGATGATCTAGTTGGGGATCGTCCTGCTTTGAGCAGGGGGTTGGACTGGATGACCTCCTGAGGTCCCTTCCAACCCTTAGTTTCTGTGATTCTATGATCCAGAACATTTAGGGTACACTAGGTCTTGCGTTTCATCAGTAATCATGCAAAAATTTAGGCACTGGTATAAACATACAACAGTGATTGTGGGTCTCTGAAGAATAACCTTTTGCCTATCTGTTACAAAGACAGCTTTTATTTCCAGAAAACATAGCAGGTCAGTCAAATTTAGCTTGGGCACTGGAAATTGTGCAACAGCCATGGTGGAAAAGTTTCTAATGTGGGCTGTAGCAAGTACATGCTGCTAGCTACAGAAGCACATAGGTTCAAGCTGATGTGCAGAGTCCCTAGACAAATACTTAAACAAAGATTATTCTCCTGCATCTGTGCCTGAAAGGGTTTTGGAATTTGTATTAGTGCCTCAGCCACTCTCACAGTATGAATCACACCTAAATGGCAGATTTTTGACATACCCCATGAATGATCATGATATTCAAGGGAGAACTGTGACAACTGGCTTACCCAGAAAATACCATATGCCTACTGCAACAAGAAAAGCAAGCATCCCTGGGTGGTCATTCAGCTCTCTGGAATCCCACTGACAGTCAAAGGCAGGCTGTGCAGGTGAATACTGAGAGCCCACAGGAATGAAACAGAGGTTTCTTTTTTTGCTTTGCAAATAACCGCTTCTTCCTTCCTGGTAAGGCCAACACAGCATCTCATCCTGGCCCACACTACACCTGGGATTGTGGGTAGGTATGAAAGACCAGTGGAACCAGGGACTGAGTTTTCTGTTTGTTCACCTTCGTTTGAGTTCCTCAGTGTTCATCAGCTTAAAAGGCTTGTGTGATTTACACAGAAATGGGACTCTCTACTTTCTTAGCCAGTCATCTCATGCACTAAAGTAACCATAATGCCAGCTTCACATCACCTAGTAAAGGAAAAGGTTACACTGTTTCTGTACACAGGGAATTTTAAAGGCTCAGATCTGCCTTTAGTGTTTAAGGGCCTGACCCTGCTCCCTCTCTATTAGACCCAACAATTCTATTTTGGGTATCGAGAGCTCTTTCCATCAGTGCAGTTCATGGTGCTTCACAAACATTAATTAGCCCAGCCTCGTCACACCTGTGGGAGGCATCTCCATAATATTATTTCCATTTTACAGCTGGGAAAACTTAGTCACAGGTTAATGAGCTTGCTCTAGGTCAGAAAACCTGTGACAAAACCCAAAGAGAACCTGGATGTCCTCCAGCCATCTTGCTTGTGTGACCACATCAAACGGATTTTACCCATCCTGAGCCAGAGCCTGCAAAAACACCTGTCTTACTTGACTCACAGGAGCCATCCAGTCACAATATATGGGCCATATCCTTGACCTGCATAAGTTGACAACTCAGTTGAAATCACTATGTTTTATACCAGCAAGGGTCAAACTCAGTGGGACTGCTTGGACACAGGCAGAAATGTTTACAAGAATCATGCTTTCCTCAGCTGTTTTTATTGTCATACCAGATGCTACTTCTCGGATCAGTATCAGGATCCAGCTTCAGAAAAAAATCCCTAGTCAGGAAATCTCTTAAACCCCTACTTAAATGCATTTTTTAATTGGAGCCCTTGTTGGGGAGAATGAGGGTGGCATGGAAGAAGTAATGAGACCTTGGGTACATGAGATTACAGAGGCAGTTGGCTTGGAGCACACCACCTCACCCAAGGGGCGATTCTGCACTGTGGTCATAGGAAAAATTACACAGAACTTGCAACCTGAGAGGGAATAGGTTTTTAGTGTTTCTCAATCAGTTTTGTTCCCTGTTAGTCCTAGACTGTTTCAGGACAGAGAGAGACTCCTGGGGTCTAAGTCCCCACAGCCTCTCTGACCTGCCCAGGTTCTTCACAGTGATGTGACCTGTGGCATCACCCCCAGCACAGCCTCCTCATCCCTACTCTATTCTTGACAAACCTCCTAAAACACAGCTAATAAGGAGCTCAAAAGAAACCTCAGAGCTGACGGCTGTAGTGCCCACACCAGGAGGAACTCTCCATGCTGGAATGACGGCTTTATGCTTCTGAAGCCTTTTTTGCATGATAGAAAGGATCTACAACATGAGATCAAAACTCACCCTCTGACCACACTGGGCAAGACCCTGAGACAGCAGCACCCACAGAAATGTATGAACTACTCCCAGGGTGATGGTCTCCAAATACACCCCTAACTGTAAATTAAAAGCCACAACTGAATGGATCAGCTTAAATGTTCCTTATATAATTTATACTAGTGGCTTATGTTGGGGTTTATTTTGGTCCTTAGTCTCTTTCCTTTCCTGGGTCCCCTACTTCAACAAATATTTGGGATCCCAGTATTGTTGGCAAAGTTTCAACAAAACTGGAATCTTAATCACAAGTTAAAACAAAGAAATGTCATGAATTTTTCTCTTCATGAGGCTTGTTAAAATATTGTTTTAAAAGTCAAACTGAACTGCTGTTTCCGTAGTTTGTAGACACACCGACCCTGTAAAGTTAGGAGCTGGCTATATGCCCTGCTGTGACATGGCAAACATTTAAACAAAAGTGACTTCAGGCAGTCATACAGAAATGATTTCAGTCATGTGAGTAGTGCTCTGGAGATCTGCAGGGTTACTCAGCTGACCAAGTGACTGCTGAATTTGAGCTCAAGCAGCTTTATGGTGTTCAACAGACATCACAACAGCCATTAGCTGGGATGCAGCTGCAGTAGCAAATATAGGCCTGGTGGGAGGATTTAACCAGGATTAAGACACATTCAATTTAAGTTGACTGATTTTTTTTTTTTAAATCGTATGATGATGAACTCTTGGTCAGAAAATTTCTCCAGGAGATGCACAAAGAAACATCTCTCCTCCAGTGATGAGAGCTGTTGAAGCCTTAGGTTACTATTCCCTGGGGAGGTAGCTGATTTACTTTGTCTTCTGCCATAATCACCATAGTATCAGAGCATCTTGCATTTATTAACAGACTATGGCTTCACAACATTCCTGTCAGGTAGGGAAATATTATTCCTATTTTACAAACTGGGAAAAAAAGAGATTATGCAATTCTCCTAAGGCCATATAGACAGTCTGTGGCTAAGCTAAAGACCCAGATATCCTAAACCCAGTCCACTGCCCAACTGCTGACCCATCCATCCTACACCTGACAGGAGTTTATTCTAATCTAGAAGAAGTAGAATCCTACATGGAAGATAAACAAGCTGGTTCTAGAGAGGCTCCCAACCATTTCGGGCAGTATATCACACTGAGAAGACTCACACATTGGCCGTACCAGCTAGTGTCCACCACATCTGATTTAGATGTGCCCCCCTAACCTGCTCAGGAGTATGCTCCTGCCTGTAACAGGATCTGGAAGGATATCACCTACAGGTCTGATTGTACTACCTAAATAGCTGCTGTAATTTCAAGTGCGTACTGCACTGCTATGCACCCCCTCTGCTAGCCTGTTGCAGCACTGCTACCACCTTCTGTCCTGGGAGCCATTACTTTCCAGTATTGCAGGGTGAATCAGGTCTAGCCCATTCTCATATTTCCACTGTATATTGGCAGGCTCTTCAGAGACAGAGGAGCACTCAAGGCTCTAAACCTGTTTCCTGAGCCTCACTCCTTACTAACTGTGCTGCCCTGTTTCTTCTTTACCTCTGGCAATAGGAACGTATTTCTCGACGATGCTGATGTAGAGCTGCAGTGTGAGCTGTGGGGTGGAGCCCAGGAAGGCCTGGATCACTGCCACACGCTTGAAGGCATTACGATGTGTGACCAGCCTGCGGACTGTGTGGCCGACCTCCTGCTCCATCTCCACCTCATAGCCTTTCTTGAGTTTCTTCTTACGCGTGATGGTGACATAAGGCTCCTCCTCCTGCCCTGAGGTGCAGTAAACCACCAGGGCTTCCACACACCTGCACAAACAAAGCAGCCCATCAGCCTAGCCAGCACACAGACCCTCCATGCAAGCCCCTCCATGTCAGCAGTATCCCATCTTCTACTTCCTCATCTGATGTGGACAGCACCATCCTTGTGATGCTCACTGGGGTCCCCAATATCTTAACTTCCTGAGCTACCAATGCCACACATACCTATAGTCATAAGGCCATAGAGGGCATGTGCCCCACTTCTTCTCAAAATATTGCTGCTCCCACTCAGGCAGCTGGCAAGAGAGTGCAGCATGGCAAACACCATCCTGATGCAGATATTGAAGGGCAGAGCACTAGGTTTGCATTGTGGGAAGCATATAACACAGAATGCTGCCTCCTCTGCTGCCATGCTTGAAAATAGCTAGGTACTCTGTGTGTGTGTGTGTGTGTGGGGGGGTCCATTCATACCCTACTGGGATAACAGCTCCTGCAGGCCAAAGGAATTGTTTGTGCATTGTGTTTTATCTCCTGCAGGGAGCAGGAGTCTTTCCTCAGCCAGCCCACCACTGTTCCTAGTACAGTAAACAGAGAGTTGGGAAAAAGTCCCTCTGCTATGTTTTGGGTGGAAGCTTATGGTTGGCTTTGTCAGCCCTGGAGATTCCTCCCTACAATACATCCCTGAAACACGCAGGGGTTTGGGCTTCTGTCTAAATCCACCATTTTGCTGCTTCAGTGCCAGCCTTGTCAGTTCAGCATTTGAACTCCAGCCCACTTGAGCCCCATGATCTCCATCAGCCAAGAAAAATGCATGTGTTCAACGTGCTCTGCTGAAGAAAACTAATATCAATGTAGGCTTGGCTTCTGCTTGAAAACTAAGGACCTCTAGGACAAGTGGTGGAAGTTTTACTAGGAAAGTTAATGAAGCAAAAGCAACTGCTGTTTTTCAGATCAAGGTGGAATTAGATTTTGTAGAATGTCTCTTACAAAAGCCTAAGCCTCACCTGGATCATGTTTTGTGACAACTCTAATATGAAACCCAGCTGCTCCAAAGGGACAAGCTTCAAGTGAATCAGAGATAATTTATGGCATTTCATCAAAAACAGGTGAAACAATATGTTCAGCTCTGGTCAGCTTTGACTGCAAGGCTTTGTTTGAAATAATTTGCATAAACCAGGCAGCTTTCTCTGGAATAGCCCTGGATGTCTCTCACAAGAACAAGATGCTTGCAAGCACTGCAAGAGGCACTGCAGACACTCCACATTTGGCCCTCTGTAGTTGAAATGCATGGAGGCCATATGCAGCACTGACCCACCATAGAGAAATCCTACCACATGCTTTTATACAGAGAAATATCATGCAGTAATGAGAATCAAGGCATTTCATGCAAGGTGTCAAACTCAAGAAAACCTGCAGGTGGCCTGTAATGGTACAAGCTATGCTACTCTAAGACTTGGCAATGTGTTACAAAAACCATTTAACTCTTATTAGATGACCAGAGTGAAGTTGCCCAAACTCTGGAAATTCAGTGTTAAGGTTAGTGTTTACTCTTTAGAACCTATGCAAAATGGAACATGAGCTCATTAGTGTGACTTCATGAGAGGGACACCATGGGATTGCCCCTTCTCGGCTTCCTGTGACAGGATGTAGCAACAGCTCAAGTCCCTGGGGGCTTCTGGGTACATCTCTGAACTAGAAGATGTACATGCAGCTAGCTTGTTTTGATACAAGCTAGCTGCATGCTGCATTGCTTGGCTCTGCTCATCTCCTTCCCAGCTCTCCATGGAGACAACTAAAAACACTACCTGACTGCATCCCAGGGCAAAGTGTGAGCCACACCCTTTCAGGGAAGCCAGTGGGAGAGGCCAAGAGAGACGCACCTAGTCTGTTATGCAGTCTAGCTAGAAATAAACAGGTTCTTATACGTTTTTATGCCTTTAATGAGCTCTGATGCAGCTGGCATGGCTTTTTGCACCACCTACTCTGTGTTGCCGGATTGAGTTGACAGAACTAATAATGGGAGTGCTCCCATCTTGAGCACACTGCCCATCACAGTCATTATCTAAGAATGAGATGCAGGTATCTTTCCTCACTGTTTCCTGCCTCTGATGCTGCCAACTCCTCCTCCACTATCCTTTGGGCTGAGAGCTGCAATTAGCTGGGGTGCTGTCTCCTCAGTCATGCAAATATGCTGTAAGTTTTCTATTCCAATTCTCACACTCTGCCACATGCTCTTCCCCCGCACCTCACAGCATCAAACCCAAGGCAGCAGCTGCCTTCCCTTAGTCAGGGACTTCATTCCCATGCCCACAGAGCTGCTAGTACACAGATGTCACAAGCCAACTCTTCCTGGTCTCTCTAACAATCTCACAAAACTGAAGGAAAGGGAAGTGCTGTCTGAGAAAAGCAGCTATGAAAAGGAGACCTTTGTTAAAGAGCCTGGGTACAAGCTTACAGAGACAGTAACTCCACCCGCCCTCCAGATAGACAGAGAGCAAGATTTCACTGTGAGGGGAACAGGGATGGACAGGATGTGAGGGGAAGGCAGAAGCCAGATAAGGTCCCTTGATAAGCTCCAGCAGACCTCTCTCTGGTCAACATGGCAATACCAGAGAGGAGCAAGCTCTCTAGAAACTCCTGTGGTTTACTGACAAAAGTGTTGAGGAGGAGAGGGGTGTAAGTTGTAGCCATGTTGGTCTAAGAACATAGGCAGACAAGGTTCTTTGGGTGAATCTGATATCTTTTATTAGACCAACTTAAATAGCTGGAAAACAATTATTAAGCAAGCTATCAAAGACAGGAATACCCAATTACCCGTGCGGACCCAAAAAGAAAACTTAAAAACCACTCCCCAGAGACGAGCCTATGAACTCCACTTCATCAGCCTCCTGGACACTAAAAATCATGGACTAAATATAGACATTGGATTTATGACATTATAACCTGCCTGACATCTGACTCCCCAGGTATCTCTCCACTATTCACCCCCCTTCTCTCTCTTCCCCCTGTCCCCAGCCTGTCTCTCACCCATTGACTCCTCAATCTACATTTTCACTGACTACCCGTCTCGTATGCATACCAGACCAGCTTCTAGCTTCTTTACTGTTCATTCCATCCAGGAAGAGCACACACCAACTGCAGAAACTTCCTTAGCCTGAAGAAGGGTTTTTGAACCCAAAAGCTTGCTTAAAAATTGTTCTCCAACTATTTAAGTTGGTCTAATAAAAGATATCAGATTCACCCAAAGAACCTTGTCTGCCTATGAGAAGGAGAGGTACAGCTAGGGGTGGGGAGGAAGGACTGCCTGTGGGCAGAGATGCGGACAGGCAACAGGAGCTATTCTGGGATAATTAAATGCCTTAGGAGGTTTTGCTAAAAATTACATCATTCTAAAACTTTACTTGACCCTATGGAAGCACCCTCTGCCTGCTCTGGGGAGGAGGACGAGGAACGTAAGAAGCTGAAGCCTCACACAAAGAAACTAAAAGAAGGAGCAAGAGTTCCTGCGCCCCATATCTAGCCTGGACCACAGGAAATACAAGGAGCTCCTCCACAGCCACTGCCAGGGACAGGAGCTACCCCACAGCTGGAGCTCCCTCCAGTAGCCTTGGTATTTATCCCACAAGATACTTTCCAGTGGCAAAGTACTGTGCAAACAATTTGAACAGCACAGAACTGCAGGGACTCAGAGCTGTCACAGGCAGCACATTGGCAACATCCTGCACAACGATTCCAGCTGTGAATGCTTGAGAGCTTCCCAAGTTGTCACACAAAGTTTGAGGACCCGATTCAAGCCACTAAGTCATCTCAGATTTGGTTCCTGGGGCTGGGCAAGGACTATTTAGGACAGGGGAGGTTGGAGGCACCTTTGCTCACCTGATGACAGGCCCCAGCTGGAGAAGGTGCATCAGGAGGATCAGTGGCTTGTCACTGGTCAAATCCCGGTGAATGAAAATGAGTGTCAGCTGGACCAGGATGGACGGACACACCATGAAGAAGATGGTCATCGCCAGCCAGAAGCGGTCGTCAGAGTGGCTGTAAGAGAAGCACAGGATCCCGGCCGCCACCGACTCACCGCAGAACAGGAGCGTGGAGAAGAGGATGCCCAGTGGGAGCTTTGCCTTGGGGGATGCTTGGGGCTCCCCCGTCTTCTCCTCGAAGGATGGCTGCTCCGAACACTCCCTGATGGAGACCTCGCACGCGCCGTCCATCCTGGGAAGCCCGGGCCCCTCCAGCGCCCTCGGTGCCCCTGGCCTAGGGGCCGTCAGCGTGGCTGGGGGGCGGC